TTCATGGGCGAAACTAGGCCTAAACCGAAATTGCCTAAATGCCTAAACTATGGGTTAGTTTCGGCCACCATCATTAACTTCAATCACTATAAACCAAATTTATTTTTATCAAAAAAATTTTTAATTAATGATTTTATTTAAAAACAATAAATCCCATGTGATTCCATTTGATACTAAGTCATCATAATTATAGTTGCAGACAGTTTCAGGGGTTGCAGAGGTTGCAGGAAAGGTTGCAACTCAAGCTTTAAAACCTGCAGTTGCAAAAAATGTGAAAACAGTCACAGACACCAACTTTAAACATTTACATACAGTGACAACCTCATACTACCACTACATCAAGCACGAAATCAGTGTCCTTTGATTACTAAAACTTCATCTAATGATATTAACTCATACAAATTGCCTTCTTTAGTTTATAAAATAACTAATCATCACCTTTCAAGAGGCTTTGTTACTTCTAGGAAGCCATCTACAAACATTTTTGTGATTATTTATATTGTGATTACACTAGCTATACTAATTTGAATAATTATATGTAGTGTAGAGCTTGAGTCATCTAAACTCAACCACTATAGCAAAATCTGGAAAAATTTCATATTTTAGAATATCATTTCTAATTCAAGAAATAATATTCTTTAAATAGGGAATGATCATCTCCTAAACTATCATCAAAGAAAATTAAATATAGAAAGTTACTAATATTCAAACTATCATAACTTTTTAAGTAATAAATATTTTACATCAAACTTTAGATTATGTCACCATTGAATTTTACACACTGGTGGTGAAATTAACTATGAGGTGTCAGTTTGTCAAAGTGTTTTCACTTCCAGTGCTGAGAACCATAAAGATATTCTTGGTGAATCATATGGAAAAGAGTGATGTTAAAAACAAAATTAAAATACCTTAAAATGTTGACCTGGGTGACAGTCTGAAAGGTTCCATAAATGGAACTTTTGCAGATAAAAATACATCATTGAACTTTCTTGAGATACTGCTAAGGAATTAGTTTGTGTGAGCTTGCTACTCTTATTCTTTCGGAGGTTCTGGAGATTAAACCCTTCGACACTAAAGAATAAACAAATTTGCAAACATATTAAAACAATAAGAGATAAAAATTTTATTAAATTACCTATTATCTATATTTATTTTTTTCTTTATGAATTGTATTTTGTGATTATAATTCTGTGTTAAATAAAAATACAGCCAAACCTTATCACAGCAGACTATAATTAAATTCTTGTCATAATGTATTTTTAAGATTTTTGCAGAATATCTTAAATTTGAATAGTACACAAAATAAGAATTCATGGAGTAGTGTTCCTAACCAAAATCAAATTTTTTACGAATATTCAAAAATCAATTTATTCAAGGATATTTGAATATATATAATTTATTTCATAATTATTATGGATACTCGTAATTATTATGGATACTCGTAATTATTTTTGGATACTCATAATTATTATGGATACTTGTAATTATTTTGGATACTCATAATTATTATGGATACTTGTAATTATTTTGGATACTTGTAATTATTATGGATACTCAATTATTTTTGGATACTTACAAATGATTATCGATTGATAACAAATAGTACTAACTTTATTTAAAGATAATAAAAAAATAACTTATATTGCTACAACAATTTAAATATTTTTTCAGAAACGTTTTCATTTATAAAATAACTCTTTCTCATTCTTGAGTTTCTCAACTTTCAAATATGAATGGTTCAATTGATTTAACATTAGAAGATGAGCCAACTCAAGTTTATGAAGAATATTAAGGATATTCAACAACTGATTCTGAAACCTTATCATCCATTTTGCCATTACCAAATAATTCATCAACCACTACCAGCCAAAAAAATCATTATAAGAGAGGTAGGCCTTGTGAGAGTTTCATTTGGCAACACTTTAGTGATCATGATTTGAATAATGTTTCTATTTTAAAACAAATATTGCAACCTGATAATGATGTGGTTGGTAATTATAATGAAATATCACATTATCTTTCTAGTAATGTAAGTAATGATATTGATCCTTTTAAATGGTGGAATGGAAACAAAAATAATTTTCCCATTTTAACAAAATTGGCAAAAAAATTTTTATGCATCTCAGCTACATCTGTTGCTTCTGAGAGATTATTTAGTGATGTAGGAAATATTATTACTGCCAAAAGGACTAATCTAAAACCTGAACGAGTGGGAAAGATGGTATTTCTGAAACGTAATTTAAAAATAGTTCAACCATTTTCTTAAATTTTCAATGTTTTTTTCTTTTATAGCAAATATAATTTAGTAGATACATTTGTGATTTGTTGAATATTTAAATATTTTAAATAAAGTATTTGAAATATCTGAAATAATTAATAATTACAAGTATCCAAAATAATTACAAGCATCCATAATAATTATGAGTATCCATAATAATCACGAGTATCCATAATAATCACGAGTATCCAAAATAATTACGAGTATCCATAATAATTACGAGTATCCATAATAATTATGAGTATCCATAATAATTACGAGTATCCAAAATAATTACAAGTATCCAAAATAATATTCGAAATTCATAATTTTGGATTTACGAATATTCGAATATGGAGTTATAATTATGGTTAGGAACCCTATACATGACATCTATACTATTGCTGTGGACTAATGTCTGCATGAAAATTTTCACGAATACACAATGGGTCATTATAGGCTAAGTATTCAACATCTACTTTACATAATTTCGCAAAAAGACGCTCATGTGCCTGAGTATCTTCATTCTAATATAAAGTAGAGATTTACTAACTGATTTATTGTCATTTAAAATATGCAGAATCAGTCTTTGATTCATGAATAATTCTAAATACTTAATTTTTTCTTTTATAGTGCCTATATTACTCAAAGCCTTTGCCTTCCAGTTTATTTGTTCTTTTAATTTACCATGTAATAAATCAGCATCTAATAACGATTTAAGTTCATTCCAGATAAAATGTATCTATAATAAAAAAACTGGGTTATAAATCTCTGGAAATAATCATCATTAATTTTTCAGATGAATGATAAGCAATTGCAAAATGAATTAGTAAAAAATTATTATCTGTACTGCGAAAAACGTGATCATGTATTAAAGTGATCAGTGTTCCGAAAAAGAACGCGCATGTGATTTCTCAAACTTTTGGCAAATTTATGCGAGAAATTACTATAGAACATGAGGAACGTGTCAAAGCTAATAAGAAATTGCGATCCGAGGTTGAAGAAAAGAGGATAGAATTGCAAGAAGCAGAAAAATACCTTGAATATTTAAAGTCCCACTCTATTCATTAGAAATATCAAGTGGTCTGTCCCATCCCTTGCGAAGATATAAAGCATCTTCTTTTGCTCTAGTTAAATCGATAACAATAAATTCTCTACCTTGTAAATTTTTATCAAGTATATTGACAACATCGCGCCATTTTTTTTAGAGATGTTAATCGGTCCTAAACAGTTCAGGACAGTCCTGGGACTTAAGTCCTGAAAAAGTCCCAAGTTTTTTTAAACATATTATTATTGAAACTAAAAAAACTTATTATTTTATTATTATAAAAAATATATATATACACACAAAAACAAACAAAATAAAAAAACCAAAATTAAATTGAAACAATTTCTGCTTCAATCCAGCTCTTTACACATAGACTTGCTTGTGCTTTTTCTGAATCCAACCTATTTCGAATTGGATTTAATGTATGTTTGGCAATGCTAAAAACATTTGCTCACTTGACACACTTGTGGCTTGTATTGAAAAAAATCTTTTGCCATATGTGACAGAGTTATATAATTAGGATCTTTTATTCTTGATGCATACCAATCCAAACATTCAATTTCTTCTGGTGGTGCATCAAAGTACCTTCTAATAATAATTATTTGCTTTGGACTCTTTTTTCAAACCCTTATTGTGTCATACTGAATTTTTGAGGTTCAAACAAAATCTGCACATAAGGTTACACATGGACCTTTTAGGACTTTAAGTCCCAAATGGCAGGACTGGACCTGAAAAAGTCTGGTCCAGACTGTTCAGGACCTGGTCCCAAAAGGACTGATTAACATCCCTAATTTTTTTGTATATTGTCAGGCAATGTTAACTAGTTCATCATATGTGCCCACGCCATTAAATAAACAAATGTAATCCAAATTTTTTCTTATTTTTCCAGGACAGTCGAAGAAAGATTGTGTGACATATATCGAGCTAATATTAGAGCATCCGGAAAATATAAAAAAATTTTACACGTGTCAATTGTAAGTTTAATAATAAAAAAGTGTAAAACTTATGTTGGCACTGTAAGATTTACACAATATTACGTCGGCATTGTAAGATTTATGCAAGTTTACGCTAAATTAATTTCCTGATGAGTGGCGCCCTTTGGTAAAATAGGGAATAATTCTATCTTGTATTTTTTTGGGCTCATTGCATACATCTTCGAATATAGCAACTGTTCCTCTTTTGGGAGAGAATTCTTTATTTTTGGTATTTTGTCAGGTTTCAATGCTCAGAATGTAATATCTTCATGATATGGCTTTGGACTATTTGAAATTGTTTGGTAACAATCACGCAAATGTCTATATTTTGGCTCCTTAAGGTGGTGACCGAACAAACCAAATCATCATTCTTAATATATCTTGTTCCACCCTTTTTTCCACTAAACATTTGAAACATTTTATTCCCAAGTAAAAGACTAATAATCATATTGGTTTTCCCTGATCTAGTCTGCCCTGATACTAGGACATTGAAAGGCCACTGTGGGCATGAGTTAATACCATTAAAACGTTCTGGATTTGTATACTCATCGATATTGAGTACAAAGATCTCACATGGGTCAAGTTTATTATGTGCCATATTTATCTTATGAGTTTATTTCTTATATGATAAATAACCTCTCTCTTGTAATTTGCTTTTTATGTACGGAAATAAATCACAATCTAATGGCACCTCAATGAGATCTATGCCTTGTCTTTTACATATATCCTGCTTTTTTTGGTTGTGTCTCTTCTGTGATTCTAGATCGTCTTGATTTTTGTGATATAAACTATTCTGATTATAGTGTTGGATCCCATTAAATTCCCATGCCAATTTTAATTCTTCATTATATCCATCTAATTGCATCCCATCCAAAAAGTTTGGCCTATGTGATGGGAATTTTTTACCTAGCAGTTCTTCAAAAATATAGCTCCCCTTTAAAATGTGGACAAACTGGGCACCATTCGAATTTCTTCTTCTGGATTTTATAAGGTGCATACCATTGATTGAGTCCCTTTTCACAAGACCAAAGATATACATCTAAATTATTTATTTGGCCTGTTTTACCAAGACATTCTCCATCACGCTTCTTTGCATACTCTTCAGCCTTAGCCATTTTATTAATAATACAAACGAAATTAACAGACCTGGAACAAATATTTTCTTCCAATATACTCTGGGGCGGATACTGAAGCATGTCAATATTCACATATAAGAGTTCCTCTCTCACAAATCCACATTTTGGAGCATATTCATCATTATCTCCGAGATAATATAAAACTGGTTCATTCTTCGTTACAACAATTTTTCGAATTTTATGAATGCTTGGACTGAATGTGGGATCGGTTGCACGTTTTTGATTTTCCATACCTCCTTCCCACTCTGCATTAGCAAGCAGGTAACGAACACTATCCCCCTTTTTTAACTTATTCTCCTCATTTTTTCCAACAGGATGTTTATATTTTGTGGATGGCCGAGATTCAACCTTTTCTAATTTGATGGCATTTGCTGGAGCTAAACCCCATTTTGATGAACCCGGAGCTCAAATGAGGCGTGTGGGGTAATTATTTAGGTAATCAATAACTTCTGGCAAATACTTGACCCACTCTCTTATTAATTTAGGATTTTTAGATATCAATTTGACGGCATACTGGATTTTATAAAGCATCTCTGCTAACGTCTTATTGAATCATTCTACAAGAGCTAATCCATGATGACTATATGCACCAATTACTTGAATTGTGACATTATGTGCTTCCATTAATTGAGCAGTTTCGCCCATGAATTCTTTACCACCATCACATTGTAGAAGTGTCAGGTATGTAAGAGGGTTATTGGAATCATCATAAATTTTCCTGAATGCTTTAGCAACCTCTGAACTTTTCTTCAATGTGAGAGGAACACTCGCTTTTTACCTGCTAGTCACATCTATAATTTGTAATACTGCTTTCCATGTCTTCCCCTTATATTTATCATGCGTAAGAAATAAGAGATCGCACTGATGTACACAATTTGGATGTGTAATTTTCCCATAACTGATTCGTGGAATATATTTTGGTGCTGGGGCATATTTCTGCCATTCGTTCTGGTTATGCAACCATTCATGAACTTTTTTATATGGGAAAATATATCCTTATTTTTTACATGCATATCTTAATGCTTTTGCATTGGAGAAAAAACCAGACGGAGTATAATAAATTTTGCTCAGGACAATTTGCAATTCCTCATCTGGATTGATCCTAATAATAGGCTTGCTCAATTTACTCATTTTTGATATTATTCATTATACTAAAAATTATGTTTAGCAAAGTCGGAGATAAGTCAAGAGACAAAGTCTCCTTTCTATGAAAGATATAATATGCCGTAAAAAATAACCATGACATTCCATAGATCCTGACCCCTAATCGATCAACTCATAGATCAGCTACGGATAAAGAACTTGAGCTAGAACAAATTAACCAAGAACTCCAGGAGATATTGCAATCAGAGGTAGCCATCAATAAATCGAATGAGAAATATATAAAGGATCTGGAATGTAAGTACACCCGGTGTGAGAAAGAAATCCAATCTCTCAATAAAGAACTGGAACAGCTTGAGAACGCTTTGGAGAAAGAAAAGGTGGAGTTGAGATCGGAGATATCATCCCTTAAAAGAAGCTTATATCAAGCTAAAAAGGAAATTCAAGATAAGGTATCCTATACTGATATTATAGAGAAGCAATTACAAGAATCAGAAGGGTGGGTTCAAAATTTAAGGCATAGATTCAAAGTTATTTCTTCTCAAAGAAGCTCTCCAAGTTTATATAATTCAGAAGAGGAAGATACAGATATGGCAAATCTTGACCTTTTTATACAAATTGGTTGAGGCTTGAATCGTATTGAAAATCATCTTAGAGGCGCTGGTACTTCATTAAATAATCCTATCAATATTATAAATGGCATTAGAGGTTCTTTGAATGCTGTTCATCTTAATTATCAAAATGCATATCAGGACATAGATGGGTTCCATCCTAGCAAAAAGGTGCTTCGGGCTCAAAAACCCCAAAATGAGTTATTGACACCATTATATTCTTTG